ATCTTTCTACATTCTTTGTAAGAAAAAATGAGGAACATGAACACTTGCAGTTTGAACTCAAAATTCTCTCTTACGTGTTCTTTGAAAATAATCTTCCCCAGAATTACAAAGAAAGGAAAAGCTACATCTGTTGAAAACATCCCAGTGAAACGCTAAATATATGTTATCTAAAAGAAAATAATTTCAAGACAGATGCCTTTTAATTTCCTTACCTCTAGAAAGTAACATGGAGAAACATTTTAATTATACATACCAGCGCCACCTTCACTGTTAGGTTTGTATAATAATTCAAACTTATAGACCATTCCTATCCACTCATAGCAAAACATAGTACAGGAAAATTTTACAGGCCCATCTACTGTTTTGTGGTACAACAGCTGTTACCAGCTGGAGATGGTTTGTGCTTGGTTGAACTGACTATGTTAAAAGGCATTTCCCTCGTCACCTTCAAATGAACATTTTTTTCTCCTTTGCAAGAAATTTTATGACTTACAAGTTCAAGACCTTCTTTTGAAAGAATTCAAACCGAGAATTCACATGGAATGGAAAGACTGAATGACTGTTGGGTTTTGTTAACAGAAAGACTGAAACTGAGTATTATAAAAAGCAGCATGTCAACCTCACTAGCAAACTGAAGAGCTTTTTAAAATCTGTCAACAGATGATTAAATCAGGGCACCATAAACAGAATAATACACCTTACCTGTCCTATACCATAGCTGACAGATTCTGACTGATTTCTTTTCACCTGAATAAATGGACCTTCTGCTTTTCAAAGATATTCATGCAGGCTCTTTCCAAACATACAGATGTACTATTTCAGGAAAGAGTAAATGGAAATTGAGCAACAGGGACCACATGGTTTATAAGTGTTTCACCAAACAGATGTACTATGGCAAAAATTTGTAAGATGTCCACGATTGTTTAGTTCAGCTCTGGAAAGAACTTCACATCCAAACTAAGAATCAGATGAATACCAGAGGGGACAAGGAAAGGGAGTTCTAGGAGGGGTGAGGATTTCCACAAAGAGAAGCAAGGAAGCCAGGTTTCCTTTGTTCAATTCCCCATAGTATCAAGAGAGGCAAGTGGGCTGCTGCGCAAGGAGAAGCATACTGGGAGCCAAGGGGACAGCAAGGTGGGCACGAGGCAATGTCTTCACCAACAAATGGCACAGTCCCACCATACAAGTCCCACCTAAGAAGATGAGCAAAGCAGGCCCAGTGATGGCAAACTTGGTCAGCTAGTGATGGCTAGGTAAGCCCATAATGATGAAGTAGGTCCAATGTCAAGCCAGGAAGTCAAGCCAGTGGGTGAGGATTGGGATCAGCTAGGTTCACGGCCAAGCACAGCTGCAAGATAGCTATGGTGAGGACTAAGACCAGGGGCCTGAACTTAAACACAGCTTCCAAGTTGACCGAAGGAAGCCCCTAGCAAGACTTGTCACAACTTTTTTTGCACACGGCAATTTTAGCAACTGTCTGAGCACGGTACCACAGCTATATCACCAAAGAGCTGGCCTTGAGCACAGGAAGTCATACCCCAGCAGGAGGCGGATGCAGAAGGCTCTGGTGGCTCCCTTGCCACCTATGAAGTTCTGGTACATTAGAAATCCTACTCATGTGTGTGGCTGAAATTGTTTCTCTTGGAAGTTATCATTGTTGGTCCATGCCAAATACCAAAATAAATTGACAATGTAATTTAGCTAGGCACGTTAAATATGTGAATCATCCTTGTTCTTCAAAAACAAAGAAAATGTAATTTAATTAAGAGAGACTGGTTTTCATTAATTGTTTAAATAATAAATATTTTTCACCATATTTCATGCAAAACATCATTTACAGCCTCCTGCCTATTATTCATTTAACTCGTTAGTGATCGCCTCATGCAGTATGTATAAAGAGCAGCATACATGAAAATAGATAGTCTCTCGCGTTGACTCACTGCAGCTTCCTGCCTTTTCTTTCTCTAGCAATTTATCTTCCTAAAAGCAGGAAGGAAATGGATAGTTCTGATAGTCACTAGACTTACAAAAAGTAGAGTTGCATAAAGAGACCCAAAGCTACCATAATACTACAGCTAAGTTACAGCAAAAAGAGGGAAGCTTTTTTTCATCCATGCAATTCAGCTTTCCCAGTGTTACGATATTTTAAATGTGAAATTGCTAGGATAATACACCTTCAACAGACATTCAGCATGTTGCAATCTATTGTGCATGCACCGTTACTTTCAGTGTTATCAGCTTTCAGGTCTTCAAAGGATAATTAAACACTTAATAGTATGATATTTTGCAAGACACAATATTTTAAATCCTATCTGCAGATGCAAGAATCAGATCTTTTTAAACCCCTTAAAACAGCAAGAATGTCTATTAGTTATTTTCAGCATACAGGCAGAAGCAGGCAAAAAGTGAAATAAAGCAAGAGTACAATTCAAGTCGTGCTGATGTGCCAACACCCAACAACTAGTCAGGGCTTTCCTGCTCTCACACCAGTGCACAAACTACTCACTTTCTAGAAAGCAACCCTATCCCTCCCCACCCAAATGAATAATTTTTCTTCGTATGTTTAGGTTTCAGCTTATTCATATGCTAATGGTTTGCTTAACAAGACAGGCACATTCCAAGTGGAACTAGAATTCAGTAAGTTATCCTAGGAATAAATAGCCCTTGCCAATACCATATTCCAATGCCTTCTGAATATCAACTACTCATGATTTCTCAGTACTTAAAGGGGGCCTATAGGAAAGATGGGGAAAATCATTTTAGTAGGGACAGCTGTGACAGGACAAGGGGCTATGGTTTCAAACTGAAGCAGGGTAGGTTTAGACTGGATATAGGGAAGAAATTCTTTACAATGAAGGTGGTGAAACACTGGAACAGGTTGCCCAGAGAGGTAGTGGAGGCCCCATCCCTGGAAACATTCAAGACCAGGTTGGACGGGGCTCTGAGCAACCTGATCCAGTTAGCGGTGTCCCTGCTCACTGCAGGGGGCTTGGACTAGATGACCTCTAGGCGTCCCTTCCAACCCAAAACATTCTGTGATTCTATGATTCTCTGATTTCAGCATCTCATATTCCCATATAACAATAGCAGAGGCAACACGTGTGAGGTGGAAGCCATCCTCTGTCGCCTTGGAAGAGCCATATTTTCATCCATCGGCATATGAAAAGGGCATAAAAGAGCAATAACAGCGTTTGGCACTTGCTTTATACCTGGCTTAAATATCTACAGCATTAGCAAGCCATAGTCTTTCATTTTACATCATTAGATGTGAACCTGAGGCGTATACTCTAGTGTATGAGCACATCTGAGATTTCACCAGTTCTGTATGGTCAATCCACACTGTGTTTCCACTAACAAGCCAGCGAAATCATAGGAAGAAATTAAAAAAAATATTGCTCCCTGGCAAGATATGTGATACTGTGTGCAAGCTGCCCACAGGCTTTTCATTCCAAAATGGCAAATATACCTTCAGAGTAGAAAAAAATGTTAGATGTGAGCCTATTTTACTAAATGGTTTAATAAACAAAGCGAACAGTGGGACCTCCTCCCAGGGACTGTGAAGTTTATTGTCTGTGCAGAACTGCCTTTGTAACTAAAGAAATCAGACCGTCCGACACCAACATGCAGTTGCAGCCAGGATGGGTCCCTACCAGATGTCCTGCTACAGCAGGTTCCTGAAAGTTGCTCTCTTCTTTCTCGGTCACTGGCAGCGTTTATGAAAGTGCCAGTTACAAGCTAGTGAATAGCAATAAGACCAAACTTTTCTCTATTTCCCCCAAACTGCAAGGTCTCCAGTCCCTTTTGCTCTTCTTTCTTTCTCCACTTCTTCAGGAACGTCATCTTGAAATAAACTTAAAACCTTATAGTACCATGCAAATTGGGAGGCTCGCTCTCAAGCCAAGTGCTTATTTAAAAAAAAAAAAAAAAAAGAAGTAATCAGATTTACACAAAATGTAAATAAGCTAAGAAATCTTCCCCTACAAAACCTCTATTTTTAAACATCTAAACATAATTAAGAAAATGGGAGTATTTATTGCAGTAAAAAAATACAACAGACTGATGTTTTGTAATCAGAAGGGGTCCTCCGGAAGTTCAAACATCAGGTTAACGTTTCAGCATTTTGACTCCAGCTTTTCCTCTTTCTTGAGCACTGTTTTTAATGGACTATGATGACCTAGTAATAAGGCTAGTTTTATATGTCAAAACTTTTTTTTAATTAGATGAAACAAAATAGATAAAAGACTTTTTTTGGTATGCAAACACTCTGTTGATCCACATGAGCTCTTACTGCTGCCTACAAATCTTTTCCTCATCCTTAGACATCACGCATGAAATTTTCTCCATACTTCCTTAATTAATTTGACTTTTTAAGAAAAATTTTTGTGTGTGGACAACATATTCTTACTTTTTTAATCATTTCCAGCCTTCATTTGTTCAATCAGAATTTCCTTAAAACTAAGCAGGTTGACAAAACGTCTTCCCTACTGCTCCTATTTTCCTGTCACTACTGTTCTTCCACAAGAATACCTCTGTTTAGAGCATCCACGGGTTCTCCTGTGCCCTGGCTTATATTCTAGATACATACTTTAATAACAGCCGAGTTCAGCTGCATCCACAGATCCACGCCATCCAACCACCTAAGTAGCCATGTAAAAGAAACATCTTAAAAGAAAACCTGACCTGCAGTGCCTGTATTTTACAGTGGAGTAGCAAGGTTCCCTTTCTACACTGTCATATGAAGTATGGCATCTCTTATTTGACATTTTAAAGTAAATGTAAATTTGAGAAACAGTAACCAAAAGAAGAAATACACACTATCTAAATGGCTTGACATTATCCAGTATGCTAATTGTCATGCCGCATACAAATATGCATGATTAACAATTCATTTCTAGTTCTAACTAGAACTGAGGCAAAATACAAAATAAAACATGCTAAAACAGCATACTGCACCTGCAAGGGTTAGGGGTTTTTTATTTGTGAAAAAGTAAGCCTTCAAAAAATGTAAAAATAAACCTTCAGTACACTGTCTACTGAGGAGTCAGTAAAAAGAGCGACAATTTTGCTGGTAAGCTACTAGTTTGAGATTCCACAGCCTTGCATAGCTTTGAGAGCACAAAAAGACAACCTGGAATTAATACTTTTTAAATACATCTCTGAAAAGAACATTGAGATCTCAAAGTGAGATATTTAACAATGTCTCAAGAGTCAGCTGTAATTTGCATTTGCCTTTTTTTCCTCTTAACTTTCCTAACCAGGATCACCTAAAACATGTGTTTTACTAAAACCCATTTAATGAGAAACTGCGTGGGTATGAAGACAAATGCTCTTTTAATTTTCTGTTTGTAAATCAGAATATATGACATTACACAGAAGCAGCCCAGTAAGTTAAAACTGACGTATGATATATTTCACATACATCAATTTTCTACTTGAATTATTAGAGGAAAAATAATGCACTGTCTTTCAGTATACACTATTTTATGTATACAAAAAATATTCTGCTTTTTAACAATTTATATTGTGGCTTGAGAAAAGCGGTTATTACATTTTACCTGTTTAGTATATTTCAAATAATAAGGGAGCTCCCAATGCTAACCCTACCTACAGAAGATAAGAATAAACTTCCTTCCAGTTAGACTTTCATATAACATTTCCCAATTCTTTTTACAGTATTTTTTATATGAACATGACCACAAAAAATCACTGAAAAGATAGGTCAGCCAAAATCTGGTTCTGCGCCGTCAGCCCAGGAGCCGTTCTGTTTGATGCCAGCATTGACGTAACAAGAACTGGGGCCTGAACCTTTCTCCCCTCAAAATCAATGTATAAATTATCTCACAGAGCAAAATCAGAAACTGTTTTGCGGTTTTCAAGAGAGTTCTCTCTCGCTAAAAAAACCATACCAGGCAGACTTTAAAAATATTTTAATATATTTTATTTAGGAATTGAAAAAATATGCGTTGAACTGGGTATTTGGAAATTAATCTCACATTACTGAAACAGCTTATGAAAGATTTTTTGGAAGATAAAACTGAGAAGTGTAAAAGCCTAGCTCCGTTGCACTTCGTGTTTTAACTGTAACGAGCACAGGAGACCATTACAGTTTAAGTAGTTGATTTGCACTTTACAAATATGTAGGTCATTCTTAATTTATTAGCACCTCAATCAGAAGTTTAGGTTCTATTTTCCAATGGCTATTTATACAAAGAAACACAGGATCATTGCAATACCCTAAACCCAAAGTGCTACTGAGGCTGTGTGGGGCTCTGCTAAAACCAATGTAAATAAATTAAAATAGTACAGATAAGGTTTATAAATTACTGAATTCTGTAGCATATGGGATATACACAAAACAATCCTACAGAAACATGAATACAATTGTAAATTGATAAATAAACAATATGTTAAATAGTAGAATCTCCATAAAATAGTAAATGATTGTCTCCATTTTGAACAATGGAGGCAGCACTATTAATAGCTAGCAATTCTCTTATGTAAAATATTAGATCTCTCCTGAGACCTGTCTGTGAAGTAAAAGGCTTACATCATTTATCTGGTGGTAGGTTTGTTTTTTTTTTCCTCCTCTGACATAGCTTAGCATCCTCTTGCTTCTGCAACGGTATAATTAAAAACCTTCTCTAATTTCAACAATACAGTGTTATTCTTTAGCCAGAGCTAGCTTTAAACACACATGGAAACATACCAAAAAATTAAGGCAACCTCATAATATCCAAGTCCAGTCATGCCAACAAGAACACTTCTGCCCCAAGCTTAAAAACAACTTTAAATTAAGTACTGATTTTCATTCTTTGGGACTCCTTCCTCCACTGACTCCGTTACCCACAGCTCAGATACAATTTTAAATTTTTTCCTAAATGTTCTCCTGAGTGCTTTCACCTCTTTTACCCGCGAATGATCTTCTCCTATAACAACATGGGAGATGCCCTCTTCAAGGAGAGGGACTACTTTTGCACCATAAAAACGGAGCTCCAAAGCTCTAATTGATAGTGTTGTTCCATGGATTTTGGTTCTGGGCTCATTAACAACAGCGTAACAGTCCACATAAACAGTGTTTCCTCTGAACATACTGAGCTGACAAGCGTTCCATGAATAACGTTCTTCTAACTCTGCAATCGTGTCCAAAGGCATCACCGTATTGTCCTTCATTCTCGAGAACACTTCCTTGAGTTGTGCAACGTCCGTGTCTGCTGTGTAGCTGTCTCCATAGCAATCGTACTGACGAGCAAAATGTTCTTTCGTGTCAGGAGACATGTGAATCATAAAGGCTGGCTGCCAAGGCACCAGCATCTTGGTTTGAAAACACTGAAGGAGCCACTCTGCCCTCACCACGTCATACTTGTTGGAAGCAATGATGTTTTTCACTCGGACGTTCTCAGCTCCTACAATGACACAGTAAGTCTCCGGCCCTGGGTTCTGTACCACGCTGCCGCCACATTCAGCTATTTTGCTTTCCAGTTCCGACTTCGAGCATTTTCCCATTCCTGTCATAACACAAAACTCAACATCTTCAAACACATTTGAAACCTTGCTTACATTAGAAAGATCGGGAGCTTTAAATTGCTCAGCTATTCCAATTATCTTCTTCACCTTTGATACAGTTTTCCTTTTTTTCTCTTGTGGCTCATCATACTCATCTATGTGAAGGTGCTTAGATGCCAGCTTCCCTTCCGCTTTGCTTCTGAGATCTTCTAACATGTCTAAAGTCATGCACTCATGCCATTCTTTGTCCTCTCTTATCTTCTCAATTCGGGGGAATCTCAAAGTACAGTCCGTTTTGTACATATCACTGTTAACAATCTCGGCTGCCTTGATCTGAACTATGACAGAGTTGCAAGGTTCAATGTACATTTCAGGTTTTTCAGTTCCACACAAAATGTTACAGGGAGGATCCTTCCTATTGTAGGGCTTCCAGTGCTTAGCCAGCTTCAAACCTAAATCATACAATTCCTTCATAGTATAGCCAGAGCCAACACGGCAAATAGAGTGGAAAACAGTCGGTTTTTCATTTGGAGGGGGCGTCTCTGCAATAGCGCACAGAAAATGAGACATCATTCCACCACGTGAGCCCTTTCCCCAGTAACCACCAACAATTAAAAGGTCTAGTTCATCCATCAGCCCATTGACGTATTCTGGCTTGATTTTTAACCAGCCTTCCCCACGTTTGTCAGGCTTGTAGGTGGACGTGGGATCTTTCACCATAATCCCTTCCTCTCTGTTATCTATTGCTTCATTTAAAGCATCAATTACTTCTTTTCTCGTTCTGGCACTCTTTTTCTGTACAACATGCATCCTGCCTGTTATCGGGGTAAATACGCTGCTTAAGATTTCGTACCTTCTGCTTAGTACTTCGTGACCCAACTTCTGATCGTTAACCATCAATACATCAAACACACAGAAGCATGTCTGCAGATCAGAGTCCTCCACCATTCTTTTTATGTCAAATCTGTTTCCTTTCTGCATAAAGGTTTGCGTCTCGGGATTGTAAGCCATCATTTCCCCATCGAGAATGCAATTTTGTATATTGCTCTTAAATACGCCATGGACGAATGGCGTTAACGAACCATCAAGAGGGGAAGGCCCAAACTGCTGAGTATAGTCAAATCCATTTCGGGAAAAATATTTATACACGTCTCCATCTTTGTGCATCTGCATACGTTCACCATCCAGCTTAGTTTCTATGTAGAACATCTGGTTATTCATTTGTTTCTCAATTTGCTGGACGTCAGCAATAGCAGCGAGCATTGGTTTAAAGGCAGAAAACAACGTGATAGAAACATCGCTAAGAGAGACAGAGGGATCGTGCAGTTGCCTGCAAACTTTTTCCAGATCAGTTGTGACGTTGTGTAATTCAGCAGCATCAGGATGAAAAATGGAAAATATAGTTTGTTGACTAACACCAAGCTTTAGATCCTTTATAATCATCCGAATGAGCCATTTTTGTTCCAGTGCTGTGCTCTGGGTAATCAACTGAAGAAGGCTTTTCTTCAACAGACCCTTGTTTTTAGCAGCGTTGTTATTTGCTATCGCATCTAAGTGTTCATTGACTTGCTCTATTGTCAGCCTGCCTTGTTTCGGGCTCCGAGGCTTTAACACAAAGTATGCAATCATTGCAAAATCTCCAGCTTCTCCACGTGAGCCAGCAGGCGTCCTGTAATTTAAAAGCTTTGCAGCATCTTTCCCACCTTTCGGTAAATTAAGCAGTTCAATATACAGCTTCGCAAGCATAGTCTCTTTAATTCCATACGCCATCCTTTCTCTTTCCAACTGTGGAAGAATAAGTCGCATCGCTGGGTAAAAAGAATCCGTGACGTCTTTCTCTTTTTGATGAAGAGCATCATGGAATTTTCTCCAGGAATCCAGGAAATCCTTGAAATACTTGGTTTTCTCCGGACGAGACTTACACGTCTGTATTCGCTCCAGAGTAGAGCACAGGTCGGCAAAAGGGACGTGAGAGGCCACCGTTTTTTTAGAAGGCTGAGAAGCAGGTGCGGAAGCCATCAGAGTCCGTTTCTCACTAGGAACAGTGAAAGTACGCACTCGTAAAGAGAGAACACAGCAGCAACGTTATTCTGTTTCAAAATAAGAAAACATTTCTAACCCGGATTTACTGATTTTTCTCGGTTTTCTAGTTAGGATTTAACTATTACCTTGACTTAAGGGTCAGCAGCGGGCACCACCGCCCGCCG